GGCATATCCCGCCTCTGCCGCGAAGTCAGCTGTATGAACAATTGAATGAATAAACATAGGGATTAGAATGTAGTTGTGCTGTGGTTGCTTTCGCTGGCGGATATAGATGGGGTTTCTGTTTTCACACTGCGGGAGCTTCTGCCATTGATATCGAGACCCTGGAAGTGACCCACAGGATCTTGCTGCTGCTGCTGCCATTGATGATGATGATGATACTGAGGAGGAATCTGCATGCTCCGCGACTCTATTGATTGCGGTTCATGTGAAAACAAGGTGGTTTGCTGACTGTACGACTGCATTCCCAAACTGTAGATGTCGTCCGAGGGGGCTGCCATTTCCCCTGTAGCTATTCTGAGTCTTTCGACCTCATGCTTCAGTGCGTCGTTCAAAGCTGTGTTTTTTGAACATGTAGAGCAAGGATCAAAAGTAGACAATATCATACTAATGTGGGTTAGGGTGATGCAAGGGCAGTCCCACATAGTTGGGGTAGGAAAACGAAAAGAGTAGCGAGGTTTTGCAAAATGCCTACCATCACGTAGTTGAGCCTGTTGTTCCATGGCTTGCAAACGGAGCTTAAGCTCAGTGTTCTCATTACTTAGACATGTTGTATCCCTCTGCAGAAAGAAGAAAATGTAAATATGTCTACATTATTAGACCCGAGAAATAGTCTATGTAACTTCCACACCAAACTAACTTAGTATGGTACGCAGGGCAAAGAGTAGAGAGGATGTTTTTAAGAAGACTCTACAACAACAACAAACCCATTAAAATCCCACAACAATAGGGTCTAGGGAGGGTAGTGTACACGGACCTTACTCCCACTCGGAATAGGGTCTGGATGTATGGTGTTAGGCATGCTAATTAAGAACAATTTTCACGATTTTTGAAGCGGAGAAAGTACAACTATGAACAATGAAAATATACAATGCAACAAACCTGGAACAGGGTGAGTTGTGCAGAAAGAGTGGTAGCTTCTGTTTGAAGGGTCTGAACTTTCCTCTCAAGTTCGGATATATAACGTGCCTTCCGCTCTTTTGATCTAGCAGCCGATTGCCGATTTGCTAGAATTCTGTGCGTGAAATTATTCTCAATTAAATCAGACAAGTTGGGAATTGAAATAGCACATCACCCAACCTCAAGAATTGCATTGATAAAATAATAAGATTATAAATTAGACAAACTAAGCTCACAAATGATGTGTGTACAGATCTAACCAACAAATTAACTGTAACACTGTGTGTCCATAATGATATGACACTGAAATATTAAATAGATAGTCTCTAAGGTCTTTGGGTACATTAGAATTAGAATAGCTAATTGATTGAATTTAAATGAATGATATTTGAATATTTATGAGTTTTAATACAATAATTATATGCTTTTGTTCAAAGCGATTGTTTAGCAACCCACAATGCAGAAACATGTAAAGTGACTATATCACCCCTCCATATTTGCTTTACTTTTAATACAACTTTTAAGTGTAAATCTATGAAAAAATAATTTAAATGGAACTTGAAATAACACAAATTTTGCTTACATGAGAGTTACTTGGGAAATGTCAGAGTATCCCTTAGTGTAGGATTAATGAAGCTCCCAAATGGAAGAGAGGGAATAACTCAAAATCATACATTGATTTGTACGTTTATATTTGTTCCATGTTTAATAATTTGACATAAAAGGAAATATGTGGGCCTAAACAAACCAAGCAGATCTAAAAGACAGATTAATTATAGCTAGTTTGAACTTTTAAAGAAACAAATGATAGTTATCTCACTACCTAAACCTATATTAATGGTTAAACTATCACATAATATGCTAAATTTAAGAATAAAAACCATAAGCAAAGAGCCTTAATATTAACAGGAAGAGATCAAATGAGCATAAGATCCACAATACCTTTTGGCTTTTTTGGGATCAATTGTCCAGAGCTCAGCCAGCTTATCCGGAGCCATGGCTTTCTTAGCCTCAATCACACCTTCCCCAAGCATCATGAAGCTCGAGCTATCCACAGAGTTGCTATGCCGGTGTCGGGGGCGGATCTGGTTCTTCATCCCGCCATTCCCACTCTCCTCCGCGCCCCCACCGCGGGCATTGTCGACACCCGCATCTCCCGGGCCGGATCCGCCGCCTATCTTCTCCATGTCCATGTAGGTCGAGAAGAGATCGTCCTCCGATCCGATCTCCTCGAAGCTCCCTGCCGGCGCGGCGTTCAGAGTGTCAGAAGCCAGATCCATGTCCTCCGGCAGACGGAAGTTGACTTCGGAGTGGGCTCTCCGGTGGTTCGACTGCCGGAATGGGGGCGGACACGGCGCCGTTCCGGTGAAGAACGGCTTGGAATACGCCGGATCTTGCATCTTGAGAAGAGTGAAAGTGAGGATGAGAAGTGGGAGCTCGAATTTTGGTGGGAGATTTTCAGAGAGAAGAAAAATGGAAGGTTTTGAAGAGCTTAAGTAAGAGGCGAAATAAATCGGGTGTGGTTTCGGGTTATAGCGGTGGGTTTGACTTTTGATCCAAAAAAGAAAAAAAGATATGGATCGGGTGGGAATATCGTAGACTTTGAGTTTTTTTTCCTTTTTTTGTTGAAAAATATTATTGAACATATTATTCGGTTAAAAATAAGAGTTAGACCGGTTGTACCGTAAGAGCTTGTTCTTTAGAACTGGAAAAAAAGAGTTGGATACTGGAAAAAACTAGAATAAATTAGTAGAAACTGAAAGAAACCTGAAGAAATTCGAAGAAGCTGGAACAACTTGGAAAAAATTAAAAAGTTCTGAAAAATTATTAAAAATTAGAAAATAAAAAAAAAATTAAATTTTTTTGTGTGTTTTTATATTATTCTCATTGTAATTCTTGTTGTTATAAATTATTATTATTATTATCATCATCATCATCATCATCATCATTATTATTATTAATATTATTATTATTATCGATGTTTTTGTTGTTGTTGTTGGTCATCACGCTATCTTAATGAATGTCTTTAAGATAAATTTGACAAGAGGGGCTCCTCGAAGAAAACTATAGGATTTGATTATATTTATGGACAGAGAAGTAAGGAAAGTTGGAAAATAAATTATCTTAATGAATGTCTTTAAGATAAATTTTTTTTTTATTTTTCATACAAAAAATTTACATTTGAAACAAAAAATTAATTAGAATATAAAATTAGTATTAATATCAAAATGTTAAATACTTAAAAGTTATTATGGCTATGAAATATTTATCATAAAAAATATATTTGTAATTATATTTTATATATATACAAGATTTTGGTTTAAATATCAGACATGTCACATAATGTAATTAAACTAATTTTTTCTTTAATGATTGACATTTTATTTTCATTGTAACCTTACTATTGGAATAAAGACATAGAACTTTTTTTATATTTTTTTTATATTTTACTCCTACTTTAGTCATTTTCTCTAAAGTACTTTGACTTTCAAATTTTTTTATAAAAATTAGAAAAATGAAAAAAAAATTAAATAAATAAAAATAGAAAAAATTGAGCAATAAAGTATAAATTTTTGTTATTTGTATAAATTGACTTTCAAAATTTTTTGTTAGCTTTATTTTAATTTTTGGTGATACTATTTGTTATCAGAATTTCTTTTTTACACTTTTTTGAATCGTTTTTTGTATTTAGCGCTGTCTTTTTGTATTAGTGAGATTATTTGGTACTCAATATTACTTCCTCTGTCCATAAAGATGTTCTCATTTTGACTTTTATGAAATTTAATTGAACGATATTTTTGTGTTAATTTTCCAAAAATACTTTAATGTGATGCTAAAAGTAAGATGCGATAAGTAGATTTTTAGTAAAAAGATATGATGTGATAAATATGTTAAAAATTAGTAGGGATAAAGTGGTTTTTGAATAAAAAAAAAGGTAAGGAGTTTGTGAAACAAAAAAAGAAACGAGGAGTTTTTGGGACACTTGGGAGTATAAGTTATACTCCATCTCGTTCTAAAAACCTTTTATGTTTTGAGTTTTTTGGGTCAAATATTGACATTTTTTTTACTATAAACTAAACATAATCTAAATAAATAAATAAATGATATAAAAATTTAATACATCAAAACTATTCTGGGGTATATCCTACCTAAGATGCACTCATTTATATTGAATTTGCTCTTTCCGTCCTAAACTCATCTTCCCACTTTCCTTTTTTCTCTGTCCTAAAACTACCCTCCCACATACTCCCTCCGTCCCAAAAAGTCTTTCCTGTTTCATTTTTTGCGCATCCCATAAAACACATGCCTAAAATTTACAACATTTCTTCTTTATTGTGGGTAGAAGTTATTTTGAAAGTTTTTTTGGCATTCAAGGCGGCATAGAAGTGTTTTTTGGGCTTTCCATAAGGAAAGCCCTCCACTTCTCGGTTGTGCAATTTTGTCATAAGCGGGAAGTAAAAACTTAAAACTGGACCTTGAAATTTGAATTTTTGGCTTTTCCCGCTCGAAATTTTTGAATTTCAAAATTCAAAGTGTCGGTTATGACACGTGTTGCCCGCTGGACGGCGTCAGACCTGCGCCCTTTCGTCTTCCCAGGTGCAATGATGGCGCCGCCTGACGCGGCGCGCCCTGGTGAAGCCACGTCGCCTCCCTCTCTCTCTTCCTCGCCTATATAAAGGCTTCCATCCCCACTGCCTTCCTCACTTCTTCCTCGCGCGTTTCTCGAGTTTCACCGGTCAACTTCTCTCTCCTGCCCTCCGAGCCAAGTAAGCTCTCTTCCCTCTTCACTTTTCATTCCCGGTCAATGTCTTCTTCTGATAGTCAAGGTATTTCTTCCTCG